GTACTTGGATCAAGTGACTCACCAACTGAGATAAGAGCTTACTAAAAGAAAGAAAATCCTCTGGTGAGTGGCTTTATCTAAATTTTGGCTTAGTTAAAAAAAGAGAAGAAAAATAACAAAGAAACAGGACATTAGCTCCTTATGAGTCATAATATATTATTTGCAATATAAAATCCTATCTTCATATTTGACATTTTCTGTTAATACCTACTTTCCTTCTATATATTTTGTGTGCCTTACTGCTATTGTTGGATTATAAACACTCAAAAGCAGGGACCTTGCTTCATATATCTATAAGAGTTTCTCTCACTCTCTTCCAAAACATTTTATAGAATGCTCTGTTCAAGGCAGGGATTTAGAAAAACGATAATAATAGTGGTAATAACATTCAACTTATAGTCCAAGATCTTTTCAGTTGCATATATACAATCTCAATTAGTTTCATGATAAAATTATGACATAAGTTCATTTATCCCCATTATAAAAATAAGAAAATGCAGACACTTAGGTGAGGCAACTTACTCAATATCATAGAACTAGTGAATGATGGAGATAGGTTTCAAATCAAAACTGACTTACCCAGAGTATGCATTCTTAACCACTTCATAAGAGAATCTGCTATCCCACTCATTTTACTTAGCAAATAAGAATCAAGCACTTAATAGTTGTCAAGGATTGTCATAAACAGAAATACAGGACTATTATAGTTTGGATGTGAGGTGCCCCCCAAAAGCTCATGCTTTCAGTTATTGAGACAATGCAAGAAGGTTCAGAGAAGAAACGATTGGGTTGTGAGAGTCTTAACCCAATCCTCTGATAGGGATTAATTGAGTGGTAACTGAAGTGATGGGGTGTGGATTTAAGTATATATTTGTATCTGGCAAGTGGAGACCTCTCTCTCAGCTTCCTGATCACCATGTGAGCTGGTTCCTTATGCCACACTCTCCTACCATGATGTTCTGCCTCACCTTGAGCCCAGAGGAATGGAGCCAGCCTTCAATGGACTAGGACTTCTGAAACCTTGAGTCCTCAATGAAACTCTTCTTCCCTAAAATTGTTCTGGTCAGATCTTTTAGTCACAGCAGTGAAAAGGCTGACTAAAACAAAGACTCATTGGATAAACAATAAGCAAGTATGTAAACATAAAACTATAATCAATCAGGATTGGTGCTATAAAACAAGTCTGATGAAAACACTCTGAGAACACTGCATCACGGCCTGGAGAGAGTGACTAGGGAAGGTGCCAGAGAGGAAATATTAAAATTAAGTCTAAAAGGATTTTTTTTTGCAAAGTAGATTTTTTTAAAAAATATTTATTTTTTCTTAGTTTTTGGCGGACACAACATCTTTGTTTGTATGTGGTGCTGAGGATCGAACTCGGGGCCACACACATGCCAGGCGAGCGCGATACCGCTTGAGCCACATCCCCAGCCCACAAAGTAGATTTTTAACAGGGAATTTGTACCCTTAACATTTAGCAAAATAGCAAGTGTACAGTAATTTCTCAAGAAATTTTTATTCTTGCTATTAATAAGGATAACATGAAATTTTAAATTTGAGAAATATCCCACTTACTCATCTACCATAGTCCTTAAAATATCTGGATTGATATTTTGAGTCATCTTGGGCGGCTATAATGTAATAAGAGACTGGGTGTCTTAAACAACAGAAATTTATTTTCTTATAGTTCTGGAGGCTGAAGTCCAAGGTGAAGGTGCCAGAATGGTCAGTTCCTAGTGAGGGCTATTCACCTAGCTTATAGGTGGCCTTCCTCTGGCTGTGGCCCTCAAAAGGCAGAACAGTGGAGAGTTGTCTGGTTCCTCACATACGGACCATCATAAGGACTCCATCCTCATGAATTCATCCCAAAGGACTCATCTACAAATACCATCACAGTGAGGATTAGGGTTTCTACATATAAAATTTGAAGGAACATGATTCAGTCCATAGAAGTTACTTGAGAAACAGAAACTAAGATTCAGATGTGCCCTGCTTTTTTCAGCCTGTTTCTGATAATATTTCAGGATCCGAGAGTCTCTGAAATGAAAGCAGTTCACTTTCCCAGAGGAGTTAGACAAATGTTCAACAAAGATTCATTTTCAATTTACATGCATGTTTCCCCTGTCCTTTAGCCTTTGATAGTTAAAGCTTCTGATTTATATCCACACTGAAGTTACTGAAATTGTTCAATAGATATTAGTTGAACTCCTACTATATGTTACATACCAGAAATGCCAGAGTAAACAAGAAAAAGTTCTGGCCTCAAATCACTTAGAGTCTAGCAGCTGGAGTTGTGTTACTATACTAACACTGGAAGGATGAATAGAGAAGGAATAGGGTAGAAAATATACCATGCTTCTTTTTCATGGGACCCAACAAAATAATCCGAATTACGGAAGCATCTGAACCTATCACATTTGGCTGGCTTCTGAATATCTGACTATCTTGGTGTCCAATTGTTCCTCTACTGGCTCTTTCAACATGGAGAAGTCCATTTACATAAATAGCCCAATATAGCTCCTTTGCATGGTCAAACACATTACCAAATTAAATAAGATTACCATGTTGGATTTCAGGTGTTCATGTAAATTGTTATTCTTAATAACTTAAGTTATATATATATATATATTATAATTATAATGCTATTATATAATCTTTTTGTCTAGTAGCCTAAAGGTCCTTGGTAATTTGTAAGATGCTCAGGAATGCAACACAATAATCCTAACTCAATTTCATTTTCTGCTGTGTGCTTCTGAGCAGATTATATTTGAATCACTAAATTAAATCATTTGATTAGAATAACTTAATCTTTAGGAGTCAGTTTCTTATAAGAAGTTTGGATTATATAATTTCTAGGATCCCAACTTGAAATTATTTGCTATTTTTATGACTCAACTTCCAGGATGACATTTAATGAGTTGTTGGTAAAATAGAAAATCCAATATCTTAAAAATATTTCATATTTTAGAAACTATTACACATAGATTAAGTTACTCTTTTTAAAGACATAAATGGAATACAATCATGTTAGTTCTGATAATGCAGGCTGCTGTAACAAACTCAAATTTTATTTTTCATACCATTGGAATTGTAATAGATCAATGGTAAAAAGATATGGTCAAACAATCTACAGAGTAAGGAGAAGATAATACTATCATAAATTAAGTTGAGATAAAAATAAGATATCATTTTAGATCTAGTAAAATACCAAACATTTTAAATCATGGTAATATTCATGTGCTGGCCAGAGTCTAACAAAACTGGTAGCCTTGAGATTTGGTACAACTATTTTGGAAAGTAACCCATCAGTATTTTAAAGTCATAACAATGTTTATAGCCCTTGATATAATGATCTCACTCTTGAGGATTTATCCTCAGTGAATAACCCAAAAGAAAAAAAAATATCATGCAAATAAGTGTACATTACAGTATAGCTGAAAAAAATTTAAAAACTAGAAAGATCTAAATAATTTAATGGTTAAGAATGGTGAAAGAATAAATGGTTAAGAAATTGTAAAATAGCAATGTAAGGTTGTGCAGCCATAAAAAAAGAATGGAATCCTGTGATTTGCAGTAACATAGATGTTCCTGGAGGCCATTGTAACTGAAATAGGTCAGGTACAGAAAGACAGATGCCACACATTCTCATTTATATTAGGAAGCTAAAATGTTAATCTCAAAGAAGTAGAAAGTAGAACTGTGCTTACCAAAGCCTGTGAAAGGTGTGTGAGGGGTGGGGTGGGGTGAATAAAAGATGGTTAATGGTTATGGAAATGCAGTTGGACAAGAGGAATAACTTTTAATGTTCTCTAGCACAGTAGGATAGTTTTGGTTGACAAGTAATTGAATATTTCAAAATAGTAGAGAGGATTTTGAATGTTTCCAACACACACAAAAAATATGTCTGAGGTGTAATATATGACAATTAGCCCAATCATTTCAAACTGTATATATATATACTAAAATGTGACAATGTAATATGTATATATACATATGTAGTCATATATATGTATATGTATATATATAATGTATGATTACTCTGGATCAGTTAAAATAAGAATAATTTTTGAAAAGCAGAACAAAATGGTACAATTGCAACTAAAATGATAATTATGAGGCCATGGACCCACAGTCGTCCATGAGCATAAAATAATACATAGTGACAGCTGGTCCTAGTAGTGTACACCTGTAGTCCTAGTCACTCAGGAGGGTGAGGCAGGAGTATCACTTGAGCCCAAGTTTTTCAGGCCAGCCTGGGCAATATAGTGAGATTTTTATCTTAAAAAAATTGGCATAAAAACATATCCAGAATCATATATGAACTTATATTTTTAAAGTTGACACTGATTTCCTAGAGGGAGTAGAACTACGGATTATGGTAATTATAGGGAAAAGACTTTATTTTGCAAAAATTATACTCTTTTCTACTATTTAACTCTTCTACCATGTACCCAGATCATAAAAAAAAAACTGTCTGTACCATGATAGTAATTACCTATAAATTATATGAGCTTATGGATGTGTGTTAGAAGGGAAGATGGAAAAATAAAAACAGTTGATTTGTTCTAGTGGTAGATATTATGTGTAGTTTTCCCGTTCCCTTGATTTTTTCTTATTATTATAATGTTTGCATAATTTAAGAATGTGAAAATAAAAGAACAGCTGCCTTAAATACTTTTTGGAAATACATAAAGCATAAATAACACATTAATGCATGAAGGAGTAGGGAAGTATTGAATCAAGAAAAATTCTTATCAAATATTTATGAGAACTCACATTTGTATGTATAAATACAATTACAACAAAACAGCCTTGACAAGAAACAGCAGATACAGATCAAGGCTAGGCCCTTAGCAAGTCAATCACAGAATTTGTCCTGGAAGAAATGGGCTATGATTACTTATTAAAAGAAGGATAAGGATGTGATTGAATGGGAGAGATACTTTTTAAATTTTGACCACTTGAGAAAATAAATAATCTTTCACTATCCTCCTTTTTAGGAGATGATAAAGTCCTCCGGTTGTGGCACCCCAATATCAGCACCAAGCCTGTGGGGAAACTGGTGGGACACATGTTCAGCATCACCGAGATGGTAACCAATGAGAAAGAGCAACACCTCATCAGCCTTTCTTCTGCAAAGGTAACAAGAAGAAAATAGCGAAATCAAAATGAAATCTGTTTTTTTTTCTTTCTTTCTTGAAATCACCTCTTAGAAGACCTAGGGTGCATACAATATTTGATGAAATAATGGATAATCACTGAGAAAAATATTTAGTATGAAAATAGAATTAATGAGCTTCTATGTTATTTCTGTTGATTGTAGCCTAAGAAAGGGCAGGTTTAAAACAAGTGTAAAAGGAGACAATATTGGGAAGCCAATGTTATCTCAGTAGACAAAACAAAAGAGACTGTCATTAAAGAAGGGAACATCACCATCAAAGAAAGAAAAAAATAAACGTTTCTGTCACTGTCATCATGAAACTATTTTAAATGTTCTAGCCAATGTAATACAAGAAAAAAATGAAGTATAAATATTAGGTTTGAGAAGATCCAATTACTATATTTGTAAATGATGTGATTGCTTGAAAAAGAGTAAAATCAACTTAAAATTTTTAAAAATGAAAAGCTCAATAAGTTGTCTTGTTATAATAGCAATTTATAAAAAGATAAGTTTCTATATAAGACCAATAACTAGTTATGAAAAAATGGTCAAAGAAACAGTATTCTTAATTACAAAAAGTATGACATATTTTGGAATAATGTTAATAGGAAATATTCATGATTAATAATAAGATAACTATAAAGTTTTACTGATGTATTTAAGAACATGAATGTTTCTACATGGAAATATTATACAGTAAAAGAGAGTCTTCATCAAATTAATCTATGTACTTGATATTATTTGGTATTAGTTAATATATTAATATACAAGAATATCCTAGAAACTTTGAAAGATAAAACTAAAAGATGACACTTCTCAATTGGATATCAAAACATAAAGTCACAATGAATAAAACAGCAGTAGGTAGACAATGCAGGAATTATTCATTTCATCTCATGTATGAAAGAAAACAGAGATTTCAGGAATTAGTAAATATGGGTGTGGGAATTTGTATATGATAAAGATAACATTTCAAATATGTGAGCGATGAATAATTTATTCAATAAATGTTGGATAAACTGATTAACTATATAGCAAAAAAAAATATGTAATCAGGTCCTCACTTCATAATAATGCAGCGAAATACATTCTATATGGGTTATGGATAAAACTAAAGATGTTCTAGAATTTTCCAGAAGAAAATATAGGTGAATATTTATATAGTTTGGGGGTAATTTCTAAGCATAGCATCTATAGCTAATGGGAGAATAAATTTAATTACATTAGTATCCAAGTTTTCTATAAATTATGATAATTATCAAATACCAAGTTCCATGTACTGTGCTAAGTATTTTGTAAGCCCAACTCATTTAATGCTAATAGTGACCTTAGAGGACTAGGGACTAATCCCTTGAGACCCTCAGAGGACTAGGCTTGCTTAGCCATGTAAGAGGCCCTGGGCTCAATCCCTAGCACCTATGTGCAAGTGCACATACACACAGAATCTATATGAAATGATTCTATCAATTTTACACAGCTGAAAGAAAATGAGACCTAAATAACTTGTACAAGGTCACATGGCTACATAGTAGCTAAGTGTAGCCAACCTGGCAGCAGCTTCTTCCTCAGACTGTCTTTCTACCTTCATAAACAAAGTTAAAGGCAAGCAGTAGAGAAGACAAAAGTGCAATTTAAAGGAAATATACTGGAATAATACCCATAAACAAAACAAAACCTTGATAAGTAGGAATTAAAAGGAGGAAACAGGAGTAGAAGGAAAGGCTTAAAAACAGACTGGCATGTTCACATAGTGCTGGGTAGGAGTAAAAAAGAACATTGAAAAGGGCAAAAGTAGGGCAAGTTCAATATCCTAACCTACTTCTCATGTATTTCTTAATATTTCATGTTTAAAATAAAACTTATTACACCATGTGACATGTTGCTCAATGTATATAGAGAAAATAGACAACTGTATTTTAAAAATAGGATGATTAAATGGACCCAAATGAAAATAAGGGTTCTGCACTTCATTCAAAGTGGTAAAAACACAGTCATCTAAACTGTGCATGATCCTATAAATGAAGTAATGCAGAGATTATAGTAGTGCTCCCTATCTTCAGGAATACAGTCCAAGGCTCCCAATGGATGCCTTCTCCATTGTATATACAAAAGACTGTGCTCTGTCCTTTTTGTTGCTTTTTTTTCCCTATAAGTAAACACCTAAGATAAAAAAATTAATTTGTAAATCTGGCACAGTAAGAGAAATAACAATAATAATACAATAGAACAATTATAGCAATGTACTGTAATAAAATTGCCAGCATCACTCTCTTGTGTTTTATTTATTCATTTGCAGTACTGGGAATTGAAACCAGGGATGCTTTATCATTGAGCTATATCTGCAACCCTTTGTTATGGTTTAGATGAGGTGTCTTCCAAAAAGCTCATGTGTGAGATAGTGCAAGAAAGTTTAAAGTAAAATGATTGGGTTAGAGAACAATCAATGCATTAATCCACTTGAATGGATTAATCCACTTGAATGGATTTACACCACTTGAATGGATTGATCCCCTTGAATGGATTAACACTCTGCCTAGGCAGGTAGGGTGTGTCTGGAGGAGGTAGGTCACTGAGGGCCTGACTTTGGGGTACATATTTTTGTTTCTGGTGAGTGGAGCTCTTTCTGCTTCCTTTCCATATCCTGAGCAGCTTTCTTCCACCATACCCTTCTGCTGTGCTGTTCTGCTTTACCTCAGGCCCAGAGCTATGGGGTTGTCCATCTGTGAACTGAGATCTCTGAAACTGTCAGCCCCAAATAAACTTTCTCTCCACTGTGTTGTTCTTGGTAGGTCTTTTGGTCACAGCGATGACAAAACTGACTGAAACAAGCTTTTAAAAATATTTATTTATTTATTTATTGATACCAGAGATTGAACCCAAGGTTGCATAACCACTGAGCAACATCCCTAGCTCTTTGTATTTATTTATTTATTTATTTATTTATTTTTGAGACTAGTCTCATTAGGTTGCATACAGCCTTGCTGAGTTGCTGAGGCTTGCTTTGAAACTGTAATCCTCCTGCCTCAGTAGCTGAGATTATAGGTGTGCACCACCATGCCTGCCTATTCTCTTGTGTTTTAGAATCATTATAAGAAATAATGGTTCTAAAACATAATAATGTCAGCGTTGTGAGCATAAGCAGTGTGCTACCACTACAATGGATCTGATAACTGATATAGCTAATCAGTGACTATGCAACTGGCAAAGGGATGATTCACCATCTGGGCAGGATAGAGGATGATGGAAGATATATTTCTGGCATTTTCCATTAAATAATTTTGTTGTGTTTCATATTTTTGGACCACAGTTGACTGCAGGTAACCAAAAGATCAGGTAACTGAAACTGGGCAGTAATACCTCATATAAAAGGGACTACTGCTCAGGTTCATCTTTTGTATATACAAGGTGCCTATTTCAAAGATTTTACTCGACTTTGTCCCCTTCTAAAAAGAGAATTAGAGGGCTGGGGTTGTAGTTCAGTGGTAGAGCGCTTGCCTAGAACGTGTGAGACCCTGGGTTCGATCGTCAGCACCACATAAAGATAAATAAATAAAATAAATGTATTGTATCCATCTAAACTACAAAAAAATTCAAAAAGAGAGAGAGAATTAGAACTTTCTGGAACCATCTAAAACAGAATTACAATAATAGTGGCACAACTGTTTAAATGTAATAAAACTCATAGAAACTTACACTTAAAATGGATGACTTTTACAGCATGTGGATTACACCTCAATATTGTCGAAAACAGATAATTAATGTGACATGCCAAGAAAGTAAAAATTCAAGAGAAAAAAGGCTTTGATTTATGGTATCTCCTTTTGCATAACAGAAATTCCACTTACACATTTAACATTAATGAATACTGATATGAAAATATCTAAATAATATATGAGATACCATGAAAGAGGATATAATTAATCTATTTTAAAATATATATTTGTATATTTTACATTATCAGTAATGATTACCAGCAAGATGTTTGATGTTTTAGAGGTTATTACTATGAGACAAGGTTGTGAATGGATTACAAGTATTTTCTTTTGTTTTTTTGGGGTTTTTTTCCCTTTTATTTTCTGTTCTCTACAGTAAATATTCATTGCTTTTGTAATAATAAAAAATGAAAATTTTTAAATGGTACTGGAAAGACAGTGAAGGATTTTGAGAGTAAAACTAAAACATTATGGGAGTCTTCTCTAGAAAATTGAAAGGAAAATAAGATGTCTGCTAGCAGAAATTGAGGTCATTTGTGCTCAGTGTGAAGAGACAGAAAAGATAACCTTTCCAAAACCTTCTAAATGTAATGGGCACATTAAGATGATGCTCATTCACCATCCTGGCAACTCCATTCGAGCAAATTACTTAATATCTTTCCATTTGGTTTCTTCATTTATAAAACATAGGAGTGTTTAGCCTAGAGGGTTGTTATAAAGATGAGATGAGCTCATTCGTTTTATTATTTGGCCAACACTTATTTCTGGGTTATCTACTCAAGCATCAGGTTCTGTTCTGGGATCTAGAGATAGAACATCCAACAAGTAGGGCAAGGGTCATGTCCCTGGAAAATTTAGATCCTAGGGGAAGAAAAAACAAGAAAAATAATAATAAATGCATAAGAAAACTGTATGGTAATGTCTGTAAGAAATAGAAAAAACAGCGGGGTGAAGTGATTGAACATCACTGGTGTTTTCTTCTGTATTTATTATTTTGAAATGGGCATAAATTCACATAAAAGCAAAAGCCTGAGTGACCAGAGGATCCAACCCCATGAAAATCTGGCAAAAGAATAACTGAAGCAGAAAGGACACCCAGCAAGATATACACACGTCTTTGCTGAAGCTGTCTTTACAGCTTCACAGGAATAATTCACAGCAGCACCGGAATAAGATCTCCATCGTCATCATTGATTACAACACAAAACAACAGATAGTCTTTTCACATCTAACATTCCTTCAGATCAATTCACATAAGTCAGCTTT